ACACACACACACACACAGCCACATGCATAAACAAACAGACAAACCCACGTCCACTAGCCCCATGAAGACTGAGATGCATCAGTGAGAATGAAGCAATGGGGAAAGAGGAGAGTGGGAGAGGCAGGGAGATAGTCAGAGAGCGAGGGATGTGACACCAGCGCTGACTGATTGAATTAGAAATAGATCTTCACTTCCCCGTGTAATTGATATGCAGTGATGACATGCTGTGTGCGGCTTGGAGTGCAGGGAGACACAACTGTGTGTTGTAATTTTATGCATGTGTATTTGCCTGTGTGTGTAAAGTTGTGGGTTGTTGATTGTCTTATGTGAACCACTGGTACCACCTGCTCTCTTTACACATTCATACCAAGACTTCAAAAATAATAGTTTAAAGGTGCACAACCTTCAATCAAGCACCCAAACAAATAAACAAAAACATAATGTTAAAAATGGAATGGAAGTGCCTAATAAAGTAGCTTTTTAGGACCTTTTGAGTGATTTAATAACAGCAAGTGTTCGTTGCGTCCTACGTTTGGATGCCATGTTCTCAAGCATTCTTATAGCGAGCCAACAACAGTGGAAATAATGAGACAGACAGAAAGAGAGAGAGAGATGGAGTGAAGAACAGAAAGATAGAGAGAGTTGAAGGCACAGATAGACGGGGGCAAAAAAAGAGAAAAAAAAATCAACTAATTGATGGAAAGATCCCTGGCCGGTCTCCAGTTTTACCACAGGGCTGTTCCTGGCCAACAGAGAGCACAGAGAGAGTATACTGTAGTAATGTGCACACCATTTGTTTTTATTTTTCTATTTCATATCATTGTAAGTGTGGTACAACTTGCTTTGGCAATACTGAACTTAATTACAGTCATAAGGAATGGGATGGGATATGGATTATGGAAGAGTGCATGTTTTTTCTTATTTTTCTTTTTTCACCAAATGACTTGTGACATGAGCCGGACATATGATGCAGGAGAATATAAATGTTCCAAAAAAAAAAAAGAAAAATTGATTTTCTATAACACAAAACATGACAAATATCACACATAGTAGCCATATCACATAACTGTCACTTATTATTTATTATTATTATCATTTTTAGGAAATATAATCTCTTTTGGGGTTAATGTTATAGTTTAGTTTAGGAAACAACAGTTTGGTTAAAGCTTCATTAATTGATTTTTGGCCACTCAGGGGTAACACAATTAGCAGTAAACACAATATTAATATATACTTGTATATAAAGTAAATACATAATACATGAAAATAAATGATAAATAAATATATTATAAATATAAATTTGATATGGCTGTGTTTACAAACAGTGGCTTATTTACATATCAAGCAGATATGAAGCAATATTATCATTCATTTGAAGCCATGTTTGATGAATGGAAGTTCCTTTTGATCTCCAGTAACATATGGGAGAAATATTTTTATTAACTTTAGCTGCTAAATGCTCAACTATTTTCACTAGCTAGTTGCTAACTTTGTTTGTCTGCTGTTTGCTTTTTCACCGAAAACAGCTGCCTGCCACTACTACTGTAAGTGATAGTGAACTAAATAAGTCGGATGGAAAATTTGAACAATGAGCTGAGAGAAGCTAAAAAAGCTCAGAAGAAATGAGGGGAAATGTAGAGTTGGGTGATAATTATTTGTGGGTTTGTCCCCATGATTGAGACCTTTCTATCATCGTATATCATATTATCCATTGTTACTATGAAAATATTGTTTACTTCAGCTTTAATGTTTGAGGAAAGTTTTCCTTTTGGTTAAACACAACATTTTCACACAGAGCGGTACAATATTTTTCTGCGTATGATTTGGGAACTGAACTTGGGATATCAGAGATGAAACTTCCTCCTTGTCTCATCTCTTTGCAACTGAATTGTGAACAGAGATTATATATTTGGATCTCAAGACATCATGTTCATTTTTTGAAATTTCAGGTCACCAGTCTGTTTATATGTGTAATTCAGTAGGCTTCCTGCCTTAGCCACTTTAGTACCATTGATGTGATCCCATTGTAAGAGTGAGAGCGAGAGCAGATTGAAAGGGAATAAATTCTTTCCTGTAGTCTGTATTCTTGAATAAATTCTCTCTGAATGTCCTACATTTTCCCTGTATGTGTGTTCATGAGTGTGTGTGTT